AGGTCCTGGCACCACAAGACCCCTTCCGCTAATGTGGGCAGAGCGGAGCTCTGAGAAAATGAAAGAGGCAGTGTTCCCTTCAGTCTCTGAGGGTTGTTAGAGTGCAAAGGGCTTTGTCAGGAGATGCAGCATAGGCTGCTGAAAAGGGTACTGTGCGCAATCCAAAGTCAGAGCATAAGCTCTTGGAATGGGTGAGGCAGGGAGAGGGGCAGAGAAGCTTCTGGAAGGTAGGAGAAGACTCAGGAAGCTTCCAGAAGGTAAGAGAAGACTCAGGAGGAGCCCCTCTTTGACATTTTGTTGCTGGTCTGTCCTCACCATTCCATCTTGAAATCAAAGTGGAGCTTTTGACCTGTGGGTCTTTGGTCAGTTCAGTTTGCCATTAGGCACCTGTCAGATTCCACCTGCCTCCCTGGGAGTGTAGAAGTAAAATGAGAATATGGGCACAGGCTGGCTTCGTGGGTTCTGGCATCTGAGCTCTGGGATCCTTTGGCCTCAGTTTCCTCTGCTATAAAATACAAATAATAGTAGTACCCTCTCATAAGTTTGTTCTGAGGATTTGTAGATGATATTTGTAAAGAGTTTAGCGGAGTTGTCTGACACATTGCAGCACTGAAAAAAAAATTCCAGTTGATAACTTTCAGGAGTTGAGAAGGTGGGAAGAATATGGAACCCACAACTGGTGGTCCTAGAGATGCATCTAACTCTCATTTGACCACTTTGGTTTTTTTGCTGTTGTTGTGGGTTTTTTTGTTTTTTGTGGGGTTTTTTTGTCTTTTTGAGACAGGGTCTTGCTATGCAGTTCAGGCCAGCTTTGAGCTCACTTTATAGCCCAGGTTGGTCTCAAACTCTCGGTGATCCTCCTGCCTCAGCCTGCTGAGTGCTGGGATTACAGGCATGAGCCACTACACCAGCTTGACCACTTCGCAATTGACCACCAGGGGCTATGGAGAAGCCTCCTTTGTGTCTTTATCTGTTCCTTGTGAGTCTAAGGGAACTGGCTGCCTGTGAACTGTGGAAGCAGAGGCCCAGGCTCCTTAGAAAACCTTGGGGTGGCTACCCGCAAAACAAGCTTCTTCAGCTCAGAAGAAGGACTGCTGGACTTTTCTGTACACTTTTTGAAACATACCAGTCTAGCCAAAATTGGGGAGAAAAGGTTCTATCCACAAACTCAGCCTACCCAGAGCACCAGTCCTAACTGTAACTCAGGTCAATCTGAAGTGTTGAAATGCAAAAGGATCTGTATTTATTTCTTTCAGATATTCTACTAGCCATATGTAAAAATGTAAATATAAAGAAGGCATTAGGAAAGTATTAGAAAAAACATGTAAACTCTTAAGAACCCAGAGCATCTCTAAAGACAAAAATTGCACTGTTGCATTTGATTTCTCCAGAAAAATTTCTGCTTGGAATATTTACTATGAACATTTTCACTGATACATTTTCTCAATTAGCATAACAACCTTGGTATTTCTTATAGATACTAAGTCAGCATATACAATTAAGCAGTAGGTGGTATTTAATCACACCTAAAAAGAATGAAAGCAGCACTAGCAATTTATATGCTTTCAAAAATTAAAAAAAGTCATTTCTACTTTTAGAAATCTGGCTAGCCTAAGCCAATGGACATAAAGTAATCCAATAATTATGTACAAAGATATATAACTGGATTATTATAACAGCAATAATTGAAAATAAACTTCATGTCCAACAACAGGGGACCTGTTAAAGCAATATAATATAATACTATGCAGTTATTATAAATGATCTATGTTAGTGATTTTAAAGATATGAGAAAATGCTCAGGATGTAATAGTAAATAAAAGAAGATATGGAAGCATAAATGATGTATGATAACAGTACATATAATGACCGGATAGAAGTTACCAAAATGTTTGACAGTGGCTATCTCTGGGTAGCAAGATTATGAGATTTTTATTTTCTTCTCTATTGTAAATATCTCCTAAGTTTAGAAAATATATGGATGCAGTACTTTTGTAACTGGTTTAAAAAGCAATAAAAATATCCTGCACAGCTACAGCTGTCATAGACCTTATAAAAGGAATTCTGTCTACCCATAACAAATTCTTTAATTCTATTATGAGAAGATTTAAAACATACTTTTTTAAATGCTTCCTTCTTCCACTCATGGATCTCCCAGTCCCCAAGTTACTCCCCTCCCCTCTTTCTTTTTCCCTTTTCATCTACTGGTGAATTTCTGTCTCAAACCTACCTTATCCTCTCTTAAATTAATGAGGGAGGAAAGGAAATAATAAATGGTTACCCTGAGTGAGAAGGGATACGTGTCCCTTACTTTGGGCAACAGAGGTATATGAAAGCAAATGTGTGACAGAAATAAAGTGATTGGTTTCTAAGTAATTCACCTTAAGAAGTTCGCCTTTAGGATCTCCTCTAAAGCCTTTGAAATACAATTCAGTTGTTGAAGATGTGAGTTTCCCTGACTTCTCAGGATCCACCGGTATCTCCTTGTTCTTCGAGTCTCCAGATTCTCCTTTGACTGACTGGCCCCACCCAAAGAAGCCCAATCAAGAGAATGTCCTCAGGGTCTGGATTAGCACTATTTTCTGGTCTAGAAAGTGCAATCATTTTAAAAACCAAAATTAATGTCCCCCCCCCAAAAAAAATTGTGGGATAACCAAGTAACCATTTTGGGAATAAAATAGTTACCATCTAAAGCTATAATAAAGACAAAGGTAAAAAGAAATAATGCATGTTCCTATACATAAGTTTTTATGTATTTTAATGATTACATTTTCCTGAATTATGAAAACAGTTTTTGAAATGTTGAAGCATTGAATTCCCCGAAGGAGTGGCATTGTATAAGATCCTCATCACACTTGATCATTTCCTTGCATTAGCCAAGATGGGAGGGGCCAGAGCTCTGGGCCAGACATTTAACAAATATGACACCTTAGTTTCACTTAGTTGTGAGTTAAAATTTCTCTCCCAGGATAGGAACTAAGGGCTTAGATTCTTTCACTAATTTTGTATGTTCAGTGCCCTACTATGTGAATGCGTGTGCATCATTTGTGTAGGGCCAGTAGTAAAGGTGCATTCACAGGTAGGATAGGAACAGCAGGGTAAGCCGCTCCTGGTTGTGTTTAGAAAGGACCTAGCCCTGCAGGATCTGTGGTACACTAGGCGAGCCTCAGCTCTCCATTGAAAGGGTCTCTGTTTCCTCACCTGTACAGTAGAGGTAAGTACCTTCAGCTTCTCCATAGGATGAATTCACTGCATCTAATGCGCTAGAATCACTCAGTGTACGTGCCAGAGAGCTCTGCTTTGGATTGTTTTGTGTTTTTTGTTTTCTTAGAAAAAGAATGTCCTCTAAATCTACCCTATAAACCATGAGTCAGGAGAAGGGGATAGTTGTGGCCTTTCTTCTGGGTGAGGATTCCAGGAAATAATTGTGTGGTTCCAAGGTGTTTCTCTGGTCTCCACTCACCTTTATATTAAAATGAGGAAACCCCAAATAATCACCACAGGTTTCTTTAGAACATATTTATCATGATTTACTTGGAGAATTTCTGCATTCATGTGTGGGGTGAGGATGGGGAGCATTATTTCCCTTTGAATGTAACCCCTGGGAGAATCAGTAAATCAAATGCAGCCTCTTAACGTTAGTACAGAAAGTAACATTTGTAGAGTGTTACAGATTACAAAGAAGTCTTCACATTCATGTTTCTATTTAGTCCTCAAAGTGGAAATTTCTTATTATATTTCCCTTTTTACGTGGGAGGAAAATGAGCTGACCCTGTAATGCCAACCTTCGAACTCTAAACCCTCATCTTGTGGATTTTTAAAGTCTCTTTCCAAGAGAAAGGAGCTCAGAGGGAACTGTTGTCCTGTCTCAGGAGAAGTTGTGTCATCCTATCTCAGAGGCTGAGGAAAAACTTCCTGTTTCAGAGGCCAGAGTGTAACAAATCAATGGTCTCCCTAAGACTGTTTTCTCTCCAGAGCTGTGGACCAGATTCTCCACGGAATGACTCAATCTTGCCTTGAAAAAACTGAGAAGTTCAAAATTTTTTCTATTAGGGGCTGGGGATTTAGCTCAGCGGCAAAAAGCGCTTGCCTGGCAAGCGCAGGTCGTGAGTTCGGTTCCCGGTACCGGAGAAAAACCAAAAAAAAAAAAAATTTTTTTTCTATTGAAATATTTCTCATATGAAAATTCACTATTTATTCAGTGACCGTTATAAATCTGTTTATGTTTACTTCTCCAGTTTACCAAAGAAAGTGTTACGAGCTTACATTTATTTCTACCAAATTTTAGTACTCTGTATACGGTTATCCATGACTCTTTCAAAATGGTTTTTGACTTTTTTGTAAAACTAAAACGTAAAAAAGACCATGATGTCTACCCATCCTTTTTATCATATTCTTTTCCCTGCACAGAAACCTCCACTCTTCATTCTCACCAGGTTAGGTACTTCTTCCTAAGTCTAACTTGATTACAAATTGTCTGATCTCAACTGCTCCGAGTCTTTAATTTTAAGCTGTAAGGTGAAGTTGTTTGACTAAATTGTCTCTTAAACAGTTATTAGCTCTTAAATTCCATGGATTTATGAGTGTAATGGATGTGAGCGCCATGGCATTCAAAGATAATACACGGGACATCTGTGGAGAAACCCCCCCGGGGACACGAGTGAGACCAGCTTGTGTCACCAGCTCAGCGGAGTGGGCACCAGCGTCCACCTCGGGAGCAGAAGCTCCACTCACTCCCTTCTGATGAAGGAGCATTATCCTAATTAACTGAATTCTTATGCACATTTATCAAAATATCATAATTAAGTAGAATACAATGAAATAAAAGGTGAAAAACAATCATTCATTATGAACCACTCCAGTAATAATTTAACGTTAACTTTCCTGGGACATCACATTTAAGCCTTTCAAGATGCTTGTTGCATTTAGCATTGCAGATCTGTTTCTCCTCTTGTCAGAACTAATTCCCCTTTTGTTTTCTCCTCTCTTCTTTCTTGTGTTCCTCCTTCTCTTCCTTTCTTTTCTTTCTTACTCCACCGGTACCTTGAAAGAAACACAAACATCTCTGTGATTTATTTTAATCTATCCCATCACACTCGTGGAAAGGAGTACATCAGAGCAATGATTGTGTTCTGTGAAAATGGATAATGAAGTGGTGGTAGATGTCTATTATTGTGGTTGTTATGATATTGTCAAATTAAATTCACATACAATATGTCCATTCAGAAATCCAGCAATACACAAAAACTATTCTTTTTTTTCCCCAAGCTTTGTTTTAAAAAGACACTTTCCTGTCACTGGCACTTATAAGTGAATAAAATGAAATTGATGCCTTGCAGGGGGAAAAAGGAAAATACTTCTTTACTTTGTATTAAGAATACATGACATCTTTGCTGTCAGCGATAGTGAAGTGAAATACATACCAAATATGTCTTGACATAACTTGACAGAAATGTATGTCTTCTTTTCTCTCATTTATTTTTGTGATAAGAATATGTGATTTTGCTGCCAAGGAAGCTTGTAATGCTGTAGAGAAATGGAAATGAAATTGTGTTGGGTCTGTCCAATTTCCCCTGACAGAGTAGCATGAGCCGCCGCGCACAGGCAGCCTCAGAAGTTAACAACAGGCCTCAGCCAGCAAGACCCAGGCGTTGACATTTGTCAAAACAACTTTCTTCAACACATCAAAATGTTCCTTTCCCTTTTGTGTTATTCAGATGTGTTCAGATAACTACATCCTAGGAAATGGTGACTGTCAGAGAATGGTTGCCATCCACGTGGGAACGATATCAAGAGGAAAATCTTCTCTTGCCTCCAGTAGAAACCTATTCTGTGTTGGGTGCTAGTCATCTGTGAGGGGCCTTTAAAACAAATCTCCAACCTAACGGAACTAAAAGTATTCTCTTTGTCTTGTGTGTGCTTCTCTCCCAGAGAAAAGGAAATGACCCAGTTCGGTTCTTTACCCTTTCAAAGCACAGATGGACGATGTTTCTTGGTGTGAGTGTGGTCTATTCTTGGGTTCTTTGCTTTTTATAATCATTTTTTTTCTTAGAAGAACTCAAATCATTTGGATACCATCGGTCCTTAAGAAAGTGTCCTATTCTTAATCTCTTCCATTATTGCTACGGAGCGATGCATTTTAGGGAAGTGGATATGGAGCACAACAAAATGGCATTTGATGTGAACCTCCAATTCTGTCCTTTTAGGACTCTTTTAAGGATCCACACACAATTTCTAGAACCCTAACAACAATTTCTACAATAAATGGTGTTTGAAGCAAGAATCCCTTGCCTAGGGCAGACAGAAAGAAAGTCCGCCCAGCAGTGTAATCATTGCTCTGCTGTTTGAAGGAATATTGAGCTCAGATGCCTCCAGAAAGCCCACCAGGCCCAGAGGCGCTGGACAATAAAAAGGGAAAAATAATAGACGCCAATGCTTTAGCAAGGATATTTTTTTCTCACTTAGGTGCCCATTCCCTGGTCAGACAATTAGTTGAGGTTCTTTCCAGAGAAAGTGTTACCCACCAAGAAAAACTCTTTTAACCTTTCAAAAATAACAAATATCTTTAATGACTTTTATCCTTTTTCCATTGACATCACAGATACAATGTGGTCTGTCTTGAAGTCAAGCCCAAATTGAAATCACTGCTGGCAGGGACAGGAAAAATGGAACATTTGACAATAAGAGTGACAGATGAAGCTTTGGAGAGGGAGAATAACTGAAGCTATGACCTGGGACAGAAAGACGGCACAAGTGCAGAATACCTGCTCCATCCATAAGCTAATCAGCAGGTACATTTGCCATGCTAACGGGCTAAATCCAACACCTGATAGAAGTTGGTATTATTTCCCATGTACACATTTAAAAGGAATGCTAGACATGCTTTCTAGGAAGAACCTTTTGATTACAAGCCAAATATTCATCACTGTACTCCCTGGGGAAAATATTTTTTATGGTTGTTACCTGAGGAACAATTATTAGAAATACCTCTGAAGATGAGACTTCCTACATATGCCTAATCTCACTACAGATGATTATTTAACACAAAATATGGATAAAAATTAATATATATATATATATTCCAAAGATAAAAGAGACTTCTTATAATATTCCTTAATTAGTCTTCAGAAGAGAGAAACTTTACATTTCAGGGCTTATACAATTCATTAGCTGCCTCCCAACTTTCATTTTATTATTACTTTTTTAAAAATTATGCTTCATTTCCAAATGATTACTTAAATGAGTGGGGAAAACTCAGCGGCATCTATCAATTTCTAATGATTTCGTTATTGGCCCCTAATCGCCTATGATTGCTTTAGAGCTCACCTTCAATTCCCTTAAAACATGCTTTGTTCAAGGCTATTCACTCTGGGTTGGTTGGGTGATTTGTAGTAAGGTTGTTCTGGTATCTAGCACTTGCAGTGAGACGTTTCCCCACATGATGGCCACTCTAGGTCCTTCGCATTAGGTATATTTTACTTCTAGAGCTGTCAGAGAAGAGTTTAATTCCAAGAATTAATTGTTGGACATAAGTTTGGGGAGGAATATTCAGCCTGGAATACTTTAGAGGTCCTGCTTTCCCTCCAAACAACAGACCTCTATTAGGTCCCATGAATAGGTTTTGCACCACTGAGAAGTATATACAGATGCCTGCATTTCCACTGAAATTTGCAAGTCCTTGGTGGAGGGGCAAATGTGTATTTTCCTCAATGGACAACAGTGGCAGAAAGTGATGCTGTTTGTTTTGCCTTTGATACAAATTCAAGTCCAAGAAGGATGGGTCCAGTTGACAGAGGGAAAACCTGGTCTTTTCTCTAGGTCCATCAGCACTCAACCCACTTTGCCGGTGTCGGAGGTTTTATAAAGCCTGGAATGTATTTCAGCATGCCCCTCTTCCCTGATTTTATAAACCAATGTAATTTTAAAGAAAAACTTCATCCATATGTTTCTGATTAATCTTTACTAAACTCATCAAAATGGTGTTTTGTAAGAGTGATTTGGTGTCCAAGAATGCCGCTGAGGATCTGTAACAGGCCCTCTTAATGCCATTTCTCTTTGAAGCAGGAACTTGTGTTTTGCCAACAGCAAAGAAATTCAAACCCCTAAAGAGCTGAGATCAGTTTGAAACTTTAGGCCTGAGGGCTCTGTGGGGTTCTGCACTTGGCGAACAGGCTCCTTCCCTTCTGACTTCGAAATACCTTGTTTTCCTCCTGCAGAAATACTCTTATTTATTGTCTTGCTAAAATATGTGTTTAAAACTATCTACAGATTCTTCAACATATAAAACTTGTGGTATATAAACTAAAAAGCAGGGCCCAATGTGCAATCTACGCTTAAATAATTTCATTTGTCCATTTGGGCTTTTCTTTAGTTACCCAGTTTTCTAGCTCACATCTTTGTGATTTGGGTTTATCCAAAGATGTACCAACAAAGGTGGTCACGAAGATCCTCCAACCTGGAAATAAATGCTAAGCAACCACTGGTTGCTTTATCTTTCAATAAAGACATAGTTCTTGAAAAACTAAACAAACAGCTCCCACTATATTTTATTCTCTTATTTATGTTGACAACTACAAATTCAATGTAAGAGACTTCCAATAATGTGCTCCATGTCACAAGGCAAACCGTTAACTGTAATTTACCTTTGTCGATGTTTGCTAGTTTTTCAGTGTAGTTCATTTCTCTTCATATATTTAAAGGAAGACTCGTATGATCTCACTTTGTTTCTTTTTATCCGATGGGTGAGAAAGTGGAAGAGAAAGAATGAGAAAGAGAAAACAAAACAGTATGTACAGCAAGTTAAGCATCCGGAGCGCTGTGGTCCTTTGTCCTCGCGGCCTCCTGGCCATGAAGTGGGAGCGCCCTCTAGTGAAACTTTACAATCATTGGAAGACCTTGGGTCTAAAGTAGCCGTTTCTTCCTAAATTCCTGCTTCAAAAATCTGTGGGCACTAACTCTTTGAGGAAGTTTCAAATGACACTTAGAGAAAAACCACAGAATACCATCCACTAAAACTATTTCCTTAGGAAACAAATAGAAATCGGGATATTGCCGTCCATAACAAAAAGTACGTACCTCTGTATTTGTATTGGTCATCTTTCCATCTCTCTCCAGAGATTCCCAAGGACACACAAGTAGTATACAATCTCCATTAAGGCTATGGTTATCTAAGTGAAAATTGTGTAAAAATAGTTACACACTCCTCAAGACGATGGTAAATAAATCACTTTGAAACATGAAACTAAGGAAGCAATAGCAATACACACAGTAAATAATTTTCTTATTCCAAATCTGGCTGTGGAAAGGAGCTCACTGTGATAAATTCTGATGTGTTTAAAGGAAAGCACAGGACCAGGAGCCAGTGTTCTTGGCCTGGGTTTCACTTGGAAGCCGGGTGAACTTGGGCAAAACCGTTCACCTCTCCGAGCCTCGGGGCTGCCATCTGTAAAATGGGCTTTCGGAACCCTTGCCCTGCCAGCTCACAGGGTAGTGGTGGAGGACAGAGTGCTGAGCCGGGGCTTTGGCGTATTACCCGCATCCATTACTGAACTGAGAAGGTATTCTTTCACTGACGTTTCTACTGGGAGATTTCAAGCAAAATCCCCTTTCAGGATGAAGAGGGAGAGAAAGAAGGCCCTGCGAAGACCCTCTGGAGCCAGGAATCATTGGCAAAACAGCTTTCTTTCCAGTCGCAAAGAGTCACAGAAAGAAACAGGTGGCGCCCGAGGAAGGGTGCGGGGTGAGCGCTGGCCCCAGCGCAGCCGGCTCTCCGGGGCGTGGAGAGGGCCCGCGGCCAGCAGGGCGGCCCGGGCGGCCTGGGCTGGAGCCGGCTGCGCGGCAGCTGGTGTGAGAGTCGGAACCGCGTCTCCCTGCGTTTCCAGCAGCAAGAGCTCAGGGAGGCTAATCTCCACTTAGCCGGACCCAGGAGCCCAGGGGCACGTATGCTCCGCGTTCTGCTGCTAATCCCTCCGCTCCGTTACCTTCACACGCACAATTCCCAGTTCCTGTTGTCTTTTGTAAAGTGAAAATATTTTAGCTTGATGTCAGCAGTAATAAACTCTTCACGGAAATAAGCAACCGGGGTTTCCCTTTTCAAACCAGTTAGTTTTAGGTTGGTGCTGTTAAATTTCTTTGCTTTTCTCCAGGAAAAGCCTGTTTTGAGTGGAACCTGATTTCTCAGTAGTTGTGTTTGCTTTGAAGGGTGCTCTATGTGTTTATTTTGAAAATCAACTTGCATGGGGCCCTTAAGCCTATGTATTTCAAATTCCAGGTTTGTCTTTGGGGAAATAAACCTTAAAAAAAATAAATTAAGAAACAATCCAGATATCTTCTATGTACTTTTTGCCTGAATTTTCACCATTTATCTTCTGGGTGTGTATGTCTTCTTTCTTTTGTCCAGAGTGAGAAACTGTTCCTCGTTTCTTTACTCAGAGGTACTTCACATCATCAGACATGCATAATCAATCTTGTACTTAAACCTTTGTGAGGAAACACAGCAGATGGATAATGGGAACATGGTCGCCATTTGGGCTCTGGTCCATTCATGAGTTGCTTCCCCAGCCATGACTCTGGTGGTAAAAGTGAAAAATCATACAGTTAATCTCGAAGGCTCTCTGCCGGTTCCATGCCTACTGTTCATGTCTTCCCTCCCCATTTTATCTAAACAGTTGAGGGAGGGGTGAGAGTGGACGAGGGCTCACTTGTTCCTCAGAATAAAATTAAACAAGGCACTTGGATAGGTCTTCAGCTGCTCAGGGATTTATCCAAAATAAGTGACCAATTTCAGTTGAATGACTGGGGCTTCCAAGTCCTAAAATTGCTCCCGCGCAACCCCAGAGTTCACATGAGTATGCAGTCTAAGCTACATACTCATGTATTAGTAGAACACCACGGCTCCTCATTGAAACTTTGGGTTCCTTCTGTATTAGAACCTTCCCTGACCTTTACTGAACACCACAAAGAAACCAAACGTTAACCTCTGTTTGTCTCAAATTTTCCCCTATTAATGCGTGGTCCAAGTCTACATTTCCAGCCAGTCTTTCATTTAAAAACACAATCTCATTCAAAACCTGCTTGGTAACTTTATCACTGGGGTAACTGTTACCTATGATGCAGGGCTGACCTGGGTCCTTGTAGCACTTGACATCATCTTTTGGACGGGTTACAGAGCCTTTTGAGGGAGTTGTTAGAAGCAGGCTCACCCTGCAATGCAGAACCGGTCACAGAAGAAAATTAGTGCATTTATCTGTCAGCATTAGACTAGATTTTCAATCCAGTTCACTAGTCACAGGGTCTGGTTTTCTCTTCCTCTGGGAGATGAAACCGATCTGCTGCTAGGTAGTAAAGGTGTCAGTTATAAATTGGACCATTGGAGCACGCACACCCGGAAAAATAGACGAGAAGACTTTAAGGCCGTAAATTTAGTTCAAGGCAAAGAATTTCCCTAAAAATAGTTCGGCTTGTTAAAACACTATAGGAAGAATGTGTGTCAGGTAACCGTTGGTGATATCAGAACCAGTTCGCGTTTCTTTTATGAGAACCAGGGTTGGCAAGTCTCTTTCCAATGTACTGTTCATTTTAACTGCTTCAGGGCAAAAGGGATCTTGCGGACACCAGTGCTAAGTAAATATCTTGATTGGGGCCCACTCCCCTGCTCCATATGTGAGAGAGGGTGAGCAAATCTGATTTGCAAACAGCAAGGGAAAGACTAGCAGATACCATCAGCTTCTTCCCATGTTCCGCTCACTGTTTACCTACCATTTAACTAAATGGAGCACCAATACCAACTTTAAAGAAGATGTGGTCTTTTCTCAACTCAGCGAGTTATCCTGTCCTAAATTGCTTGTTTCCTATCCTCAAACCTATAAAATGATCCAGGCGGAAGCCCTGAGGACCGGCCTGATGTTAATGACCCATTACCTAGACACAGAACACACTGGAGGTCAAAGTGAAAATGTTCAGCGTCCAGTGATTCCCACAATTCCTGCCAGGAGGGCCCATGTACCACTTGGTTCAATAACTGTTGAATGTCTATTGACTCTGAAGCACGGCACTGAATTGTATTAGTTTATAGATCTGATCCCTTGACTCGGAGAGCTAATAATATAGATGAAGAGATGATATTCTACAGCCCAACATAGAATAAGCCAGATTCAAATAAGAATGTGACAGGAGCAAGCCATGGTAGCCTATCAGGAAGCACAAAAGAAGAAATACACTATAAAGCTAAGAGTTTAATTCTTTTGTCACTTAAACCTGGATATATATCTCCTTCTGTACTCATATATCAAGTATACTGTTGATGTTTAAAGTCTTGCTTTCATGGAGCTGTATTTTCTCTAAGGCCACAGAAATAAATAACTATAATCCATCTTTACAACTGACGTCTGGCATGATGGTCTCATCTTATTCATCTTTTCATCCTTAGAAGAGCATCTGGCACAGAGCAGGTACTCAGTATGTGTACTTTAAAGGAAGGAAGGAAGCGGGAAGGGAGGGAGGGAGGGAAGGAGGGAAAGAAGGAAGAGTTAAAATGTGATATACGTGACAATGTTTCATTTTACCTGGATGACGGGAGAAGAATTTGGGAGATGGAGTTGTGGAAAATGACTCCTAAGTCTTTAACTGGGCACATGATGGATGGGGATTCTAGATGCAGAGACAGACAGCACAGGAGAGAACTATCTGGAGAAAACTAAAGGTGTCAAGGTGGTGGAGGGACAGGTTGCCTGGGAGATACCAGCTGCAGGACATTCAGCTGGAAACAAAGAACAGGCTGAGCACTCAAGAGATAACTGGAAGCTAATTCCTCTGTATGTCGAGCACCTGTGATTATGAATTTTAAGGACTGATATACTCCGAGTGTTCTCCTCTCCAAAAAAATTCATATGTAGAAATCCTAACTCAAAACGCGACAGTATTTGGAGGTGGGGTGTGGGAGGAGGTGACCAAATCATAATGATAGGTCTTAGAAGTGGACTTGCTACCCCTAAAAAGGCTTGAGGAACCTTGTTCAAGCTTCTACCATATGAGACACAGCAAAAGTCCCCATCAGTGAGCCAGGAAATGGAGCCTGATCTGCTGGCACTTTGATCTTGGACTTCTGATCTTCCAGAACTAGAAGAAATATATCTCTGGGTTTTTTTTTTTTTTTTTAAATAAACCACTCAGTTTACTAGCAGCTGGAACCGTCTAATATTATGACTAAATTCAATTAAATAAAAACGTGTTGAGCGCTAGTCTATTTGAAGTACTACAGGGATGGTACATTTGACTGAGGAAATAATCCTTAGACAGAGGACATCAGCATCCACTAGAAGGCAAAGATCTATTAACACCTAACTTTTTATTGAAAATGCACAGATAGTGGTGGGGCAAAGAACGAAAGGCCGGCATGAAGTAGCCGCACACAAAGCAGCTGGGCATGGCAATTCCAGGCTCAGACTGGGATTTGTTTCTGTGTGACCTTGGGTGAATTATTCAATCTCTTCTGATTGGTTAAAAGCAAAGTAACAGTGTCTCTTCTTAGGATTCCTATGAGCATTAAATAAAATAACCTGAAAAGTGATCACTTAGTAGAGATGAAGTGTCCCAAATATTAGCTGCTGGGGTAAGCAACGTTGGTAGCTGATGAGCAGATTTTCAACATTTCAGCCTCACATCCCCTCAGCTAAGATTGAGAGCTACGTTACACACTACTCAGAGAAATAAAGGGCTAGTGATGTCATGAACTGAAGAAATAAGAAGCACCAGACATGTCAGATAAATTTATATCATCCTTATTTTTCTCAATTGGTTCTGATTTCCGATTAAAAATTTGGGCACGAAAACAACCAATGTAATTGGAAAGTTGGCACGGCTGCCCAGGATTCCTAAACCATTAGTAATTGAAAAACAGAAGACAAAAAATAGCACAAGTTATCCCTACAGCTGTAGTGTTCGTGCACGTCACACTCACACACACACACCCACACACACACACAGAGCCCAATAAACACCAAGTCAAATATACATTAAAACTGTAGTCCTACGTGCATGGTAGGTGTTCGCACGACCCGGTAACT